ACTTTTTTATATCTTTATTGAAATTAAAATTGCTAAAATTAAGAAAATACCCGACAATTCGTTCTTAATATGTCTTGGTTGGGTTATATAAAATGTTTCATATCAAGAGTATCAAGTTCCTTTATCATTAATATGATAAAATTATAACGAAAGCAATCAAAAGAAACCGTGTGTTCATTGGTCTTCCAAGCATTTAAAAGAAAGGCAACTATTAGTTGAAGAATGAGTCACTCAAGCGTTTGAAACGATAGGGATACATTGTAGAAACAGATGTGTCAATGAAGCTGAATGAATGAATGACTAATATCACGTTCAAGGAAAACATTTCCTGTTTCCTTGGTGATGGGGAGGATAGAGGATAACTTTTTTTGCAAATGACAAGAAAAAATACGTAAAGATTTAGAATGCATCAGTTTTCATAAGGTATAATTGTGTTTAGTACATTACAGGTCTACATGTATTCTAATGGTTGCAACATTTCTGGGAATATTTAGGAATAACAAATATATTTTTTGTAACCCCCTTTTTAATAGATTTAAGAAACCCCTATAAACTGTCTTTCGCTAGCGTCTCTACTTGTTAAAATAAAGATGAATCTGACATTTTTATTTTTTCGATAAAAAAAGAAGTCATTTTTTTATTACTCGGAAATTAACCAAATACATGTACCATACATGTATTTAAGTCACGATGTTGAATCACCGTGTTTTTCTTTATTTAATATATTTGCCTAGAAGTTACATGTAATACAAACATCTTGAACGTTAATTTTGTTAATTGTTTAGTGTGAATTTTATTGACCAATAGTTTGATGTTTATATTCGAAAGAGCTATGAGGATTCAGCCAACAAATTCTCTAAGCGATGTTGGTTAAATTGCGTTGCCTTCCAAATCAAAATATTTTTACTAGTGTTAGAACACTGAGCATATTAGCAATATTAATATTTTTTCTGCCACAAATATTCATTCTATATTTGTTGTGATTTAAGTAAAACTTGTAATGAAATTTATTCTTCAGGGTACTGTACATCAATATATCTTGGGCATCCCTTACTGTAAAAATAACCAGGAAATCTTTTTATACTTTTTAAAAAAAAAATCATCTTGTCAAAATCATATCGATTACAAATCGTGCAGATATAAGTAATTAACGTCGTCTAAAATTTGGTAAAATTTTGGATAAATATTCTTATAGGCCTACCATATGAATTATTGCAATTTCCTTTATTTGTGGATCTGTATTTCGTCAATCCTTAAAATAGTGTTCGTAATTTACCACAACTGCTTACATGAAATGACTACAAATGTAATTGCTTAATAGTTGGGAGAGGCTAAATTAAGAGAAACGATGAGGTTTCCTCTGAATTTTTGAAATGCAGATCATATCTATATGTCACCGAGGTCAGAGATTTCGGGGGGGGGGGGGGGCATGCAAAAGAATTTCAATCATATACATGTAATTATAGTAATTTAATTTAATTTTTGTTAGTTGAGAATGTTTGCAGTTGAGGATCTGGGCATTATTTCACCTATATAATTCAACCATTTTTTGTTACAATCATGATTATACTAATGTTTTAATTGAACATGTGCCCTATGAGGAGCCCTTGATTGATGAATAAACATTACAAAATCACAAAGTCTTTAAGATTAACATATACTGATGTCACTTTGATTCATTTTAAAATTTTTAAATCTAACATATAATACAAAATACACAAACCATTTTATTTACAAAAAAGAGATACATGAAATGAATTATGCGCCTTATAATTAAAATATGCAGTTGTATCTAATCAGCTGTGATAATCAGGAATACAATCTTCAATACCTCGCCCTACAAATCATCAAAACAGTGCAGTCTAGTGTATACTTAAACCACGGAAGACAGTGATAATATCTTATTTATCAGTTTTTCTAATAACCCCAAATCTCTGAATGTCATAAATCTATAATCTTCGTGATTTTTCATTGGTCCACCCAGGGATAAAAATCACGTGCAGATAACCAGCATTTTTTGATAAAGCATGTATTTTTCTGCTGCTTATTTTTTTAATATAAATATTTTATACAATTTCATATTACTCTGAAATCATTTTAAAATAATAACTCTATACGAAATATTGCAGATGTTTTATTTTCAAATCAATTTAAAAAAACAAGAGATTCGGAATTTTTTGAAATATAAGTGCATTATGATACTCGACCAATAGGTCAAAACAAGTTAACACGTTCACTTTAAATATATATATATACATTTAAATGAAAAGAACATGCATATGGGAGTGGTTTAGACATCTTTTCCTAGTAATTCACCTAAAACTTAGTCACATGCTGACAAACACGGGCAATATCACACCCGTTTCTATGACGACCCTCTCTGTACGACGCCATGTCTGGAACAATTTGTCGTGATCATGAACTAATGGTATGATCTGAGTAATACCGGGAATATTGCTTAATAATCGCCTCTGTGAATAATTTCCAATAACCAAACATGTATTTGTTTATGTGGTAGCGAAGCGTGTTTGAAACGTTTTAAAACTTTCAATGTTTAGTGTGCTTGTTATATTTCTATGAATACAAATATCGATGATCAGCTGTTTGAACAGCGGATGAGTTTGCTGAAAGCGTTTTGAAATGATTTTGAGGGTCATTATGTAAAGAACAAAATTCTTAAGGAACACTTGACTGATCTAATTTTACTTTAATATAAAACATACAACCTACTATAAAATGCTGAAGTATAAAATTTTTAAATTCAAAATTTCCAATTAAACGAGGAACTAAGTGGTATTGGGGGTGTAAGAAAAATATCTATAAATTGCCATTCTGAATATATAATCTCATTTAAGTTGTATCTCATATCCTGTTTTAAACGAAATGAAACTTTCGTCATGATTTTTTTTACAGATTATATCAACTCCAAATTTATTCATTTTTAGAAATATGATTATCAAAGATTACTGGTTCCGTTACAGCACGATTGGTCAATGGACCTTCCTCTATCCTTTGTTTGAGGTCATCATCTAAAAAGAACTCGCCCCGCATCAGGATGAATCAGCTCTCCCTAATACCATTATCAAGATGTAATGAAATTATTTTCTGTTGGTTATAAACAAACCATTATCAGGTCCCGGTCTGGATTTACAGCATTGTTTTTGATGAGAAGAGCCTTAAAGATTTGGAACAGTTCCCTGTTCGTTATTTCTTCACCTTTTCCATTCAGAAATGCCAAGGATGTTACAAACTTAGAGCCTTGCTAATATACATAATATATGTTTATGCTTAACCTTAAAACTGTCCCTGAAGCTCGAAATTCTTAAATCCACCTTTGTTAAAGCAAAGCGATATAATCTGCAAATGCTGCACTGGTATTTTGATCTTATTTCAAAATAATAGTTTTGAGACAATCCGGATTTTAAAGGTCGACCGCTAATCGATTTAGTGGTTATGATGTCATAATAGACCCTGACATTCAAGCATAAGAAATTGTACCCCCTCTGTTAACCGCAAGGCGGAATCGACTCATTGTGGTAAAAAAGATCAAGACTTAAAAATGTGGGTAAAGCCGTGACAAACCATAGAGCCTATGGGAATTCATTTTCCGGTGACTCTTGCATTTTAAACTACTGTGTCTATCAAAATTTTACGTATTCATGGGGACATGTATCAATATTTTAGATATGTATAAAGTTACCGTATCATTATTCTCATCGTTTTTACAATTATTTGCTTTATATCTGATAAGGTAACGACTCTTGAATTCTTCATGCAATATTTCTATAATTTTGAGGTGTTCACTCCTTGGATAATTCTCCTGGTGTTCTTTGGGACCATTCATGCGTGTCTGCTTCACATCACGTTATAACAGATAGCTGTATTTGTTGATCAGCCCAATGACGAAATAAATTTGAAGACGTGTAAAGCTGCTGATCCTGTCCATTCATTAAAAATGATTAATAATTAGTATTCCTTTCGTAGAAAAATCATGAATCATTATATATTATGTAAACATTATTTGGAACTTCAGACTTCCGGGAAGAAAATTACTCGGCAACACCAAGAGGAAGGCTACGTTGATAGCAACGTCACTTCCTGTTTAAAAACATGAATACACTTCAAAGATAACCAACACATTTTTTGTTTTATTTTTTTATTCGTTTTCCACAGATCAGTTTGGCCTATGACCTTGGGTCACGTGACTCGAATGGAGTCTTGGCCCACGTCACTATTCCACAACACATATACAGTCAACATTTCCCTCCAATTATAAACATAGGACATCAAAATAAAATTATTCTCAACATATTTTCAGCGACTGAAAATCTTTATACATGATGTTTGATAAATAAAGTTTGTCATGTAAAGGCACTTTTAATGAAACAAAAATTTAACAACCGTATTTCTTTTCACAACAGATAGACAGAGGCATTTCGGAATGGAATGTAAACTCTCACGTCATTATTTTCGTGATTAAAAAATTAACATCTAAATTACAAAACTGAACAGATTGGTACGTGTATATATTTATATTTTGGGGGTCACACGTGGTATGAACTTTTTGATCTGTATATATGTCTGTTCGTCCGGAATGATTAAATAATTTAAACATATTTACAAATAAATGGCTACAACATAGAACTTGTAAGTTGTTTGTCGATTTGTGGGTGCATAGGATGAATCAAGGCATTGATGGTGAGGGCATATGAAGATGCATACCACACTATATAATAGTTTTAATCGGTACGTATTGAGGTAGCCGTGTTAACAATAGTTTTAAGACTTAATTATTTTAAGAAGAATTAAAAATGATTATTTTTATTATATCAATCAGTGAAAGAATAAACCTTTTTAGCATTTTCTCGGTAGAAAAAATTGTCGTATTTTTCTCTCTATTTCTAATGTTTGTCAAATCGCATAAATTTTGGAGATTAAAATCCCTTGAGCAAAAAATAATTTTTGCGGTAGCTTTTCCCTACTAATGAGCTTTTTGTTCCTTTTTAGCATTCATTAATTGTATATTTAAATAACAGATGGCTTGAACCAACTAGCTCAGGTAAATGGTAAGAGATTAACCTCTCGCTTTGCATTCTAGGGATTCGCCGTGCATGAATCATGAACAGCGTCTTAGAGCTATAGATCAGGAAAACAAGAAAAAGACAAACCTTAGTGACTAAATACATACAGAATAACAGTTTAAAGTGAATACATTAAATGACTAGAGACAACGCGAGAAACATTGGACAAACATTTCATATTCTCTTATTCTATTTTTTCTCACAACTTCTGAGTCTCTTCTCAAACTTTTGGATTTCTTTGTGTGTCTTTGATGATTTCTAAGCATTCGAAATAATGATGGAATGATTTTTTCATTTCGAGTATTGTTCATGTGTTTGGCCCATACTTATTGCACAAATGAAAGTACTTGGTCAACATATTATTTCCCCATATAGTCAGATCTTCTCTTTCGAGTGTCTTAGTTTTATAGGAAAAACCACGAAACTTCCGGATGTACATGTATACGTCACACGTGATTTTCCTCCGGAACAATGTTAGGTATCACAGAGCGTTCACACAGCCCGTTGTTGAGAGCTTGTTCGTATTCCATCAACTGACCCATAAAGTTGAAGTTCGGGGAAATTATGCTCCTTTTGCCCTTCACGTAACGATATATGTCCATCATTGAAAGTTTTGAATGTTTGAGAAGGTAGGCGATGGTGATGGTGGCAGACCGCGACACGCCTGCGTGGCAATGGACTAGAATATTAGCACCATTTTGTCTTGCCTCATCTAAACAAATAATAAAAGAAGAAAGTGTAAAATTAAATGCCCTCTACAAACTGTAACTGTAGTGCAGTGAATTGTTACTGCATCGATTGGTTGTTTGATAGTTCGTAAAAAATGCTATTGACTGTGTTTGCATAAAGTATTATCCATAATATAATATTGAATATGACTCATATTTTTGCTCTGCGGGGTATTACAGCTGTTATTGATTCGATAGAACTAAAGCAACAGGTTTCACGGAGTTGACTTCTTAAGATCGCTTAATACAAAAAAGTTGCTGAAGGTCACATATAATTCGCGCAAAAGACATTTCAACATTTGTAAAGTTCATGAACTTCCTTTTTTTTCACTCCACTTTAATGTGTTTTGCCGTTCACCCATTCATTAACATTTTCTTTATCACAAACGGCTCCGAACGAAATGAGAGCGCATTAGGAGGTTTGGGGGTGACTCACGTCCCCCGATGTCGGGGACTACTTTAAATCGCGACCGCCCAAAACTGAAAGCCATCTGTCGGGCAAAAAGGGGGAAACGCTTCCCCTCTCCCGTAGTGTGTCGATTTATTGTGCCTCAATAAAGCCTAATTAGGCTGACAACCTGGCACATATTGCAAAGTGACTCATCTCCATCAAGGTGCGCGATAGACCGACGGTATCGAACTATCGTTAATAATACTATGCCCAGGTGATAATCTGACAAAAGGCTTTCTTCATTAGCATGTGACGTTTGATTTTGTTTTTTCCTTTGTATGCTAATTCTTGAAATCGAAGTGCATTTAAATTAGTCTGAATTCGAAGATGGATCTTTCAAATTAGTTTAATATTTTTTCCTTAATTTTCAAGGTTTCACAAGGAATTCATGACCAAAAAAAAAAGCTCTTCTTGCAAAATTCTCTGACAATTAAAATAAAAGGTCTTGCGATTGAGCGTCACCTATGAGTCATATTTAAACATAATTTACAGCTTGATCCATTTAAAAAAAATTCAATGTCACACCTCTACGATCTTAAAATAAAATACAAAAATGCCCAAAATACTATGTTATTTAAGAGATTTTTGTTTTCCTTTTTTTCTATTTTACATACATATATAAAATTGCAAATACTTACCAATAAATGCAACAGCCTCTTCAAAATACTGCTTTAGATTTTGGCACCCGCTGTCGGAGGCGGGAATTCTTTTATAATGGATTCCCTGATTTTCAAAATACTTGGGTATGTGAGAAGTTGTATTGAGAACATAGGTGATATTCAAATCTTGCAGTCGCTGTAAATTAGCTGCATCTCTTTCATTGCCTGGGTAAAGAAGAATTGAAAATAAGAAATTAACTCGATCGACTTGATTTTTTTATCTACACGGACAGGAAGGGAAAAAAAATGTCGTTCTTATTTTTCGAAGTCTCAAGTAAATGTATAAATATCAATAAATTTAATTCGTTTTGATTTTTAAAGTAAAAGAATTATTGTCTTAATACTTTAATTTTTTTCAAATTATTTAAATTACACTGAAACACGAGATGCTGACGTTGTGGACGAATATTACTTTGTATGGTGTAAACTGCCGGAAGTAACTTACCGAGGTAGAGAAAAGGGAGGATCTGAGTGGCGGTGGCTGTCTCGATTTGGGGCTCAATAATGGGCGTGGTGGGACTGTACAGGGGTCGAGCTTCCTGAGATTTAACACTGCTATCACAAAGGTCCATATGCTTGTTCCTGAATTCCTCAATTCCTCCTGCATAAAAAAAATAAAGGTCTTTACCATCTTTCACTTTGGTGAATATATCATTTGATGATTATTTAACAATTTTCATGCTTTCATCACCAATCTTTTCTCCAAGTTGTATAAAATTAAAGGGTGTCTATTTTTACATGAATGGGGGTTTCGAAATCATTATGATTAGAATGTGTGAATTTTTTATGCGCCTATACATTCTTGCGGTTGCGGGGAAAAGGTGTTTGAAAAGATAACAGCTCACGGCGCATCTTTCCCGTTCTCTGACCTCCAAACACTGGAAAATTTTACAGTTGGTTAAAGCATTAGCTACATCAATTCTTCTTGGGTTCTGCATTTGTATGCTTGATCAATTTTAGTAGGTTTTGTCGCCTTTCTGATTACATTGCTTATTTAACGTCATGAGTCATCACTTTACACAGAAGGTCATCCGAAGACCATATGCTTGAGAGAAAGATAAATGAATGCCTATATCATAAGCCGGCAGTGTTTATCTTTACGTAATAAATCGCTATCTTTTCTTCGACATACGTGTTAGAAGTCTACATTTACTTTTCAGTTTTTTCAGTGACAATTTGCCCCCTAACTACTGTGTTTATTTTTAGCTAAGAGTTGAGAGCAAACACTTGAGAGTATTTTATTGTGTGCACATCAAACAGAGCCACGTATCGACCAGAGCGTATGTATAGAGAGGGAGAAGGCATATGTATATATACACTTTGCCATGAGTCATCTTTCCAATATAGCCAGAGGTTCTAAGCCAGCGCTGAAAATGCATAGCAGAATGAAGTCTTATCTGAAATGGGTCAAACATGTTGTAATGTTATGTAAGTTTATAATCTCCTAGGTATTAAACTGTAGTTTATCTTGATCGTTAATTCTCTAAGGATTAATTAAACACTGCTGTCACAGTAATAATGATATTGGTGACTCATCGTCATAGATTTTTACACTTCGTGTTCAAATTTTTCGATCGTTACCCCTTTGATAACAAAAACCATTACATTATTTGAAAAATATACACCATAACCATATTTAGATATTTTTTTTGTCATCTCATATGGTTTTTTCCCTCCATTCTTGAAACACATGACTGGACTACTTCAAATTGTTTAAAGGGTCCTTTTTTTCAAATATATAGATAAACAGATATCTTTGCGTTGGTCGTTTACAAATGACTAGGTTTTGAGTCATTTAATCACGGCTTTCATACCAGCTCGCATTCCTATCTTTGTTTGAAGTTTTTAAATTTCACATGGAAGCCCTTTTTGTCAAGGCTAAGCCGTGTGTATGACTAAAGAAACAATTGTGGCTAAGAAGCAGTGAGTCACACTAGTCCACCATAGTTTATCGCGTTCTGGTCCCCAAGCGCCATGTTCACGCGACACGGTTTTATTGTAAAAATATCTTGTATATAGAAGATATATTTGCAGGTGGAAAATAGGTACCCCCTCCTTTTTTAATCAAATATGTCTATGTTAAGGAAAAGGAAGTTTCACCGCCATTTTGTTAAAAACTTTCGGATGTGAGTTAATATTACTCATAACCGTTCTCCCTTAGTTAAAACCATGTCTCTCCATTTTAAATAAGTTTTCTTATGATTCATTTCCACAAGTAAAAAAACCCTTATCAAATTTCCTTAAGAGGCTTAGACATGTTAGAAATACGGAAATTTTTTCATAAATGACGATGTCAAATCTGTTTTTCTTAAGTAGCAACTTTTCTTTTCAATTTGAAAACTAGAAAAAAAAAATAGACATATACATAAGTTTGGTAAGGTTGTCACATAGTTAGGCAATAAATGTCAACCAACCTTTGAGAATATAAACGTCCTTGCCCTCTCGTAACAAAGAAGATAGCACAAGATACATTGAAGAATCTGGACTGAGCGATTGGACATCTTTCGTATGGTCATCATAAAGCACAATTTCTTTAGAACTCCTCTTCTTAAACATGTCTTTACCCTCCTTGGAGGATACAAGGTCAATGATACTGGCCTTTCCCTGTTGAAGTCGCCTTCTATTAAACCTATCGGAACAACTCACATTAATAGCACCTTGGATATGAGCAATATTATAAGACACGAATGGTCGACAGTCCAAGACAAGCACAGTCCGAGCTTTACTCATCCTGGATGCAAGTTCCTGAGTTTGCATGCTCCTCGCTGAAAAGACAGCGCTCACATTATTAGAAGTATTGAGTTTGTTTAGAGCACTAAGGGTAAAATTCATGGATTCCAGTTTACACCTTTTCGGAACACAGTTATAATCATCCGTTCCGAAGTCCAGCGTGAGCCCTAACCGTCGTCGACACGGTAGGATCTCCGTGGTCAGGGTGGAGGGGGGCAGCAAATCTAACTCACCGCCCGATTCTGGCATCACCGGTGGAAATTCCAGAATCATTGAAGTCCCTTTACCAAAGAAAATGTGGTATAAACTAGATCCACACGTTAAATAAAATAATATTCCTTCTTAATTAGATCTAAGACCCATTAAGGCAGAATTCACACAACAGGTTGTTGTATGTAAACAGTAATTTTCCACTCTAACAAGTGATGTTTCGCTTATCGCATATACGCGTGTAATGATTCTCGCGATGTAAACACAGTAGAGTATTTATACTTGGCTACGTCACATGAGCAAGGTGATTCATAAAGCACACAATCGGAACTCATCGGGCGTTTCGCTTTTACCCTAGAATTCGTGTACTTATACAGAAACAACCTTCTTTTAATTTACACACATTAATTCAAGATTTAATGATATATTTCTAAACCAGTTCATCGCTACCTTTGAAATTCTCTGTGGTATTTCAAAGTTTCTGATTTCAATATCATATGATCACCTCTCTCTCTCTCCGATCCAAGAAACGGGCCTGCAATAATAATACTATAAAAACGTGTTTCACTTATCAAATATAAGTAGTAAAAGAGAATACTAAGACCGAGATATAACCCAGCTCATTCTTAGATTGAAGAAGGATAACCCCCCCCTTCCGTCTCCCGTACCCCATCCGTCTCATCTGTACCCCCCAACCCTCCTTTCAGAGGGATCCAATATAAAAACATCTTCTACCTTTTAAACTGCTGTTGAAAAGAATGAGCAAAAACAAAACAAAACAAACAAACACTCAAACAAAAACAAAATTAAACAAACAAAAATCGGATTCAGTAATATAAAATGAAACCTTTCCTTTATGTACATGTATATCATAAATTGCTTATATTTTGATATTTTTTTTTTATTTTTTTTTTTTTTTTAGGTTTCGAGTTTCAGAAAATCTTATGATTGTGAAGTGATGAGTTAACAGTGATTCAGTGACCTTATGTGGATTAAACACACACCGTCCAAATTTGCAATTCAAAATCGATTAATCTTCCCTCGTTTCCAAGTGACTAGAATCGTTATTTTATTATCGAGACACTGATAATTGATTGGGTTAAGATGGCCGATGATTCTTCTATAATAAAATTAATAATATTTATATTTAACCGATGATAGTTACATATCTAAGATTGAAGTAAAACAAATTGATACACATTTCTTTAAGATCGTTGATGAATAATTTCGAAATATATGTGCAGGTTCGGATGATACATGTCGATTTCAAATTAGAACTGACACATGCTTCGTTTTATTTGATGATTTAAATTACTTACTAATATACATAGCAATTTTAGTTTGACGGACATTTATTGAGAGTGAGTAATTAATGGAACCTTAATCAGTTTTTTAGGTCATGCATGTCTTCATGAAGTATATTTAATCTACATATATATGCTTCAAAGTGACAGGTTTTAATACACTCATCGAAATTTACTTATAATGGTTTAATGCCCATTTATGTACTGAAAAAGAATTGATTATATTTATAAGTAGTAGTTTGGCCATTTTATTTTAAAATTCTTTTGTAATTCTAACTGTAGAAATAAATATTTGCTCAAGGGAAAATATACAAAGTTAACGGATGATATTAATTTTTTTTTTCAAGTGCTTATTAAAATATAATTAAAAATCTTGTGTCACAATGAAAGAAACCTTATAAGAATTCAGTTCTCACGTGTATTTATTAAAGACCATAATTTAATTTTTCTCGAGGCGAACAAAAGAATTAGATCATTGCTACTTTCATAATCTTCATATAATCACGTGAACCCGAAAATTTACACATCAAGCGCGGAAGTTTTTGCACCTTTCTGACGGCATCTGCATGCGCCTGCATGTTAATCCCCGAAGGTTTTCATCTGCATGTAGCGCATCCCGAGGCCACGAAATGTCAAACAGAATTAATTTCGCAGATTGTGCCAAAATTAGCAACATTTCCATCAAACAACTGTCAAAAATTACCTCATCATTTTTGGATTTTCTATAGACAAAACAAGAAGGAATAATTTAGCCTAATGACATCATACTTTCTCACCGCTCGATCACCACAACAATTGATGCATTAATTTGGAGTAAAACTGCATATTGTGATGTCATAATGACAAATTGTGTTATTGACAAACTCCACTTGTTTCTTCTAGGAAAGAATGAGACCTACTTTTGTGTGATCTAAGAGGAAACTTCCTATATTTCCTTTTTTTTCATTTATTTATTGACAAATTTCAAAGAACGTCCATTACATTATAAAATGAATATTTATATTTAATGAACTATTCAAAAATATGCACACATGTTCAGTGCTTTTTTATTACGTGATGTTAAATTGTACAAAACGAAAATACTCTAGAAAAAATAAATACGTATATATATATATATATATATATATATATATATATATATATATATATATATATATATATATATATATATATATATATATATATATATATATACTCACAAATAATGATAACCCCTAACCAACTACTGCCTCAATTTTTAATATGTTGAATCTTGAGGGGTTTATTTTCTCCCTCTAAATTTCTCCACACTGTGTTAATCTCTATACGTACAGATGCATAGAGAGCGCAAAAGGGGGGAGGAGGGGAAAAGGCGGCCCCGCCTTTTTATAATTCTGCTTGAAATTTTCCTTGAAAGTCCATTTTTAATTGTTTTCATAATGAGATTACACGGGAAAACAGTATAGAAATGTCATGTTTTAAATTTTGAATTTACTGGATGGAAATAAATACGAAAATCAGAACAGGCACTACAAAACATGTTTTAATACACATGCAGTAAAAGTGCGAGATTGTACATGTACTTTTATTAACAAGTCAACGAAAAAAAAGATGATTCACTTAATTTATACATACATAAGGCCGGTGTGTATTTTAAGAAAATCCTAAGATATGTCATGAATAATGCGTGTGTACATTTTGGTCATCTGTGTAGATCTATATAACAGGTTTATGACAAATGCAAAAATACAAAAGGTGTTTGGGTGTTTATTTACATTGCCATTCAACCGCAAATTTTGGACTATGACTGGTCAGAGGCTACTAAATACACCTCGACAGAGGACCGATGACAAAACATGCGCTGTCCATGATTAACACAATCATCACTTATTAATGAGCAGTGACAATTGGATTCATCGATGACGAACATTTTAACATTTTTTGTCTGACAACTAGGATTTCTTTTTCTCTCTCTCGCCGTTCCCCGTTCTTTGGTGTAGAAAAGCTTAATTAATCCGTACTTTAATATATATCGCAGTGACATTCTATGGAATTAAAGACATAGAAAACGATCTTAATAAACAGTTTCTGTTTCTTGTATGTGTACATGTGAAACACATATTGGGGGGGGGGGGGGGAGGGGGTGTAACGCATTACATCTTTAAAAAAAAAAGTATTGTTAGCCCTCTGTACGCCAATTGAGCTCATTTTCGTAGGTTAAAAAAAAATTCGCGTAATAACGCGAAAATTTCTCGAAGAAACGCGAAACTTTCGCGTTGTACCATCATGACACGTATATGCTTGATCAAAACTACATGTATCTTTAAAAAAAGGACAATGTCCTTTGCAATGCTTTACAAATCTTTTCAAAATCTAGAACAAATTTGAAAAGAAAACAAATCTTTCAAAAAAAAAAAATGCAGAGATGTGTTCAGTCGTTTTACTGACCGTATATAGAATTACCGCATATTTCTAGCTTCTACGTTAATAAATTATGTTATACATGTACCTTTAAGGGCATACGCAACGTAGTTGTCTTTTTCCCTGGAGTGAAGAGTTCCAATACTTAAAGGAACTGCATGTGTGCTACATTTTAATTTCTAGGCCTATATATGCGTTGCACTTCTTCTAAAACAAGTCTGGATAAACAAAACATTTAGAATATATGTTAATTTTTCTATATTTTCTTTGAATTATACAAGGATATCTTTTCAAAACCCCTGGTTATGCATGCTGATTTTTTTGTCTACAAATATCTGATGCTACTATAATTTTCAATTAAGAATATCTTGAAAAAATATCAGTAGGTAAGGTATATTGCGTAAGTCCTTAAGTTAACACTGATTGCCTTATTCGTCGAATAATCAATAATGTTTTTACACGTCAGGCCCGTAGCAACGTTTTAAAGGGGGGGGGGGGGCTCAAAAAGAAAGAAAGAAAATAAAATGATTAGCAATCACCAAAAAAAAAAAAAGAAAAAAAGAAAAGAAAAAAATTAAAAGTATCCTGAATATAGTGAAACAATTTTTTTTTCAGATCAGCAAGTTCATATCATCCAGCAATACAACAAGATATAAATCATAAATGATAAATAATAAAATATAAAACATAAATAATAAATAATAAAATACCATGTTACCAGTGTCATAAAAACGTTCTTTGAATGTGCAGAAATCCCGTTGATTTAGCATTTCACCCCCTGCTCTCCGACCACGAGTCTCAACTGTTGTGAAGTTTTGTTGGTGACATTTGCAATTATGTTTTGTTTTCAATCAGTGGACAAACATTTTATTTGTCTGTTTTCTATTTCTTTTACGCTAAAAAAAATTCACAAACATCGCTTTATATACGTATATTCCTTTTACATGAAGAAGGAAACAAACAACTTGAGCAGTTTCAAAGAAACCAATGAGAATTAATGTTTACACAAACACAATTTCATATTTTTTTCATATAAATATTTTGTATGTTTTCTAGGTCTTTGAGGCTGATGTTCCTTGATTATTTCTTAATGAAGGCAAATTTAAAAGAAACCAATGAGAGACTTACTAAATGCCTAAAGGAAAACACCAGAACTTTTTTTTTTTTTTTACAGTAAGAATTGTTGTTGTTTTTTTTTTTATCATTATTAACTTCAATTTCAGAAAGTTAAAAAAAAATACCAAAAATAAAGCAAACAAATAAAAAATAACGAAATAAAAACAAAAACAAAATAAAGAAAATTAAAGAAAGACAAAAGTTAAATCCCCCTCCCGCTCACACACGCACATAAAACCAACACATAAATGAAAATAAAAAATAAAAAAAAAAGTTTTTAAAAAATCAAGAAAAGAAAAGATTTCAAAATTCTCTCTCCGATGAACATGAACTGGTGCTAATCCATCTTCGCTAGCCAAGGGTTTCTGATCCGCTACAAAATTCTCTCTCTCTCTCTCTTCGATGAACATGAACTGGTGCTAATCCATCTTCGCTCGC